GGCCCCTGAGCCGCGGGCTGTGGGGGAAGAGCCGGCCAAGCCCTACACGGGGCTGGGTTTGGGGCCCTTTTCCTGGTGCGACTTAAAATGCCGTTTTCTTGTACCGAGTGCTGTATATAGCACTTCATTTATCACCTAAGCTGTTAGAACAAGAGAAATAACACAGAGGGGTTGGATCAACAGCAGCCCCAGGTCTGGCTCCATGTGGAAACTGGGATTGTGTAACCAAATTAATGCAAAAAATTGGGATTCTTCTTAAATCACAGTTAAGGAATTGTTCTTAAGCCTGTCAAATCAGTGTACCGTTAAACAACTTAGCAGTGACAATTATTCCACTTCAAAAGCCCAAACCGCAGTTTCGGAGGGCAGTCGCGAAGCTGCTTTTCCAGCTGGCTGACGTGTATTTAAAGCTTTATAATTGCATTACTATCGCTTCTAAGTGGACAGGCTTATAGCCAAGGAGAACATCCGTGATTTGACTTAGCTGGACAATCAAGAGTGCCCGCAGAGGAAACTAAACTGTTAAAAGTTTTCCTCCCTAGTTCGTGGGCCTCGGTCCGTACGTGCCCCATCTTGCTCTGCCGGCTCCGAGGGGCAGCGGAGCGGAGGGCGGTGAGCCGGCTGCGATCATCCTCCTCTCCTAGGAATGACACAAAAGCCTCGAGTTGCTCAGACCGTCTTTGATGCAGAATCCACCTCGATGCATGTATTTATGGTATTTAGGAGTGTTTAAACCTGGGTAACTAATTTCTTAATGCTTGCAAGAACAGGAGCAGCACAGCTGGATCCGGATGGAGATGCTCTGACGACCGCTGCCTCCCCCCAGCAGATCTCTGCCTGCAGAGACAAATGCTTATCAGCGGGAGAGCCATGATCAGCGGTTGCGTGGCATCCTCTTTTCGGGGCAACATGTTGTAAAGACCCCAGAGCGTCAGCCGGGTAACCCTCGAGGTAAGGCCCAGTTGTCTGATTTGGGGTTTTCCCTTTGTGTCGCGGTGTACCTCTCCCAAAGTGTGGGGATGCATCAGGTGTGAGGAGTATTTTCTGCCTGCGGTGGTTGATTTTTGATGAACAGAAGTAACGCAGACGTGGCAGGGAGTCTGCCCGGCCTTGCTGGGTGAACGGCCTCAAGTCACCAGTTCATGGAGAGTTAGAAGAGTAATGGTGGATAAATCCTAACAGAAAGTCAATTGGCAGACAGTGCCTGCTCTGCCTTCCCCCTGTCACCCCAGAGGATCTTCCTCTTCCTCCTGACAGGGCAGGAGTGTCTGAGGGTGCTGTCCCTTGGTGCTGAGCCACAACCTCCTTTCTGACACCACCCGTAGTGCTGCCGGGCCCGCACCAGCCATCCCCCCTGTTCCTTGCCACCCGGGGCTGGGTCCCAGCTCCCCACCCGGCCCTGACACCTCTTCGGCTCTGGGCTCACTCCCTCCCCAGCGTGCCCCAGCCCCCTTCCTGGAACCCCTGCTCCCCACCAGCTCTGATTCTCCCAGTCCCTTGCGCTGGGATCCCCAGAGCTACTCCTAACCCTGGGCCCGCAGCCCACCCAGGCCCCTTCTAGCCCTGGCCTGGTGTCCCACTGCCCTGTGCCCAGTCCCTCCCAGTCCCTGCCCTGGTGTGGCCCCGCTCCCCACGGCTGGGTCCCACCGGCCCTGCAGGAGATGCTGCC